ATTAGGGTTCTATATGGAGACCTGAGAGTCATGTGCATACAGATGATAATTAAACCCACAGGAGCTGATGAAATCACCAAGGGAGAGTATATAAAGAGCATCGAAGAGGGCCCAGGACAGAGTCTTCTGGGACAACCACACTTAGGCGAAGGATATTGAGGGGAACGCAACATTTATTTCCCCCCTCCATGCCTTTGCCCCCTCATGTTGACAATATGCTCCCTCCTCCCCCTTGCCTCTTAGAATCCCTAGCCCCTCACAAGGCTCGGGGTAAGTATCATCTCCAACATAAGGCCTTGCCTGCACCCCAGCCACCACGACAACTTTGTATCATTTATTTATATTATATGTATTATTTATAAGGATAGGCACTGGACATGAACTGTCATTGTCGTAGGGAACTCCCAGGTTAGGAAACTCTCTCCACCAATGTAGGTCAGCATCTTCTCTATAACCAATAGTCTTAGAGTGTTACCTCAAGGACTGAGAAGTTAAGTGACTTGTTCAGGGTCACACAGCTATGAATAAGCCAAGGCAAGACACAAATAATTGGTATATGGGTTGTATCTGTTTCTCTGTGCACATGTTGTCCCAACCCCAAAGTGGAATGTAAGTTCTTGGTGCCCCAGGACTGTTACATTCCTTTGTATTCCCAGTGCCTGGCACATAGTAGGTGCTTAAAAGATTCTTACTGAATTTAAGTGAAAACCACATTGTCCAATCGGATCCCTCAAGCTGATAGGGCATGTGAGGAAGGAGGGGAAGGGAGTGGCTTCCACAATTCTGAAGTCTTCCACCAGCTACACTGAGTACAGTGGGAGGGAAGCTGATTTTGTGTAGAAAAAGTGTTTCATTTGTTCTTCATATGTGTGTATGTGTATACAGACAGACATAGATATTCTTCTCTCCCTCTCTCTCTCTCCCCCCTCTCTCCCTCTCCCCCTCTCCCTCCCCCTCCCCTTTCTCTCTCTCTCTCTCTCTCTCTCTCTCTCTCTCTCTCTCTCTCTCTCTCTCTCTCTCTTCTCTCTCTCTCTCTCTCCCTCCTTCTCTCTGGATCTCTAGGTTTTTATGCGAAGGCTCATGGCTTTGTTCCCACATTCTTTGTTCCAGGACAGCAGGGAATCAGACCTTCCTAGTGGGCGACATGTTACCATCTGAGCAAGTGACGGAGGGAGCTGGTGATGCTGGCCTTCTGCTACCCGGGACGCTTGGCACTGTGGGGCACGTTCTAGTCACAGGACTCTCAAGTTGAAAGGGACATGGGAGGTGGGAAGAATTGACTGTTCTGGACTCTAGTTTAGAGCTAGGAAAAATCATGGTCAGAGTGTAGAACGGATTTATCCAAGATGGTCCAGGGAGACAGTGCAAGCGGGCCAAGATGGCAGCTTCTGTTGCTTCCCTGGAGGCCGTGTGGTGAAGTGGACAGACCTCCGCATCTATGGAGTTGGGACTTGGGATCAATGTGTGACCTTGAGCAAGTCCTTCCCCTTCTCTAGGTCTCATTTTCCCCCTCTATGAAATGAGGGATTTGGACCAGATAACCTCTAAGAGCCCTGCCTGTTCTCATTTTACATTTTGTTTCATTTCCTACGGTTCTCATTGCTGCACATGTCATGTCAGATTCGTGCAGTGGCTCGAAGCAGAGGGGCTCAGACTCTGCTGAGGCCCAGCAAGCACCCTGGCAGCTGGGGAGGAGGTGTGCAGGGGGCATTTCCAGGCATTCCCATGAAGGAATGTGGGAGGGGGCGGTCGGAGAGCTGTAGGACTTCTGAGATTCTGCTCCCTCAGAAGCCAGGCTGGGCAATGCAGGCCATTCACTAGTGTGTCTGGGGGTCCGAAGAGCACAGACTTCCTACCAAGACAGGGCCACTGACTGCACAGTTGAGCCTCAGTCTTTATGGTGGAGGATGGGTGGAGAATCCATTGGCCATTGGGTCAATGGGCCCAAAATGGCTCAGAAATGGTTTGATGGAGCAGTTTAAAGAACATTCCCCTCCCTTGAATTAGGGGCATGACTTCATTTGGGCTCTGCTTTTCTCTCTACTTCTCTGCTAAGAAACCAGAACTGTTTCAAAGTGAGGCCTAGAGTCTCAGCTCCTCAATGCCAAGAGCATTATTTAGAGCCATGACTAGCCTGGGGAGTGTAACACTCTTCCCCAGGGTGCCGATGTTTGTGGTGGGAGCCGAGGTTCCAAGGAGGCCCATTTGGCTGCAGGCTGGAGGAGGGTCCTAGGAGACATGTTTCACATTGGCCTTCGGAGTGCAGTTCCTAGAAATGATGCTGGGAAAATGCAGGTCTGGTACAGCTCTGGTAACAGTGGCAGCCTTGGGGTGCAAAGCCAGAGCCTCTCTTGTCCCATTACTTTCCAGTCCAAAGGTGTCGAAGCGGCCCCTCCCCTCATTTGCTGGCCTTCCTTGCTCTCCTTTCCTCTGAGGCCAGCCTCCATTAATTCTCACTGATCTTTCAATTAATTCTACAGAGAATTTGCTCTAGGTAGGAGCCTAGAGAGGATTTTTCTTCTCTTCTTCCTTGTCTTCCTCTTTTAAAGTAAACTGGATTAGTTGTTTTGTTTTAAAGACCAAACTGGACTTAAACAGGCTTCCCTCTAAGGTCTTCCTCTAAGAAAACAGTTACAGGCCCAGGAGAGATGGGCAGCTCTCTGGAAAAGCCCTTTCCCCATAACTATCCCCGAGCCTGCCAAAGGAAGGCAAGATGTTCTCTCTCCTTCCAGAGCTGGAGACTGTGCAGGAGGGAAAGGGTAAGAGGGGAACCTTTCAGAAACTTCTTGGGCCTTTGCACTGGGCTGGGAGCTAATGAGGTGACAGTCCTATACCAGCTCCAGGTTGCATCCTCTTTGAAATGTACCTCACTCCTTGGTGGTGCTGGGGGCGGGGGAAGGAGTGGGAAGGGGCTGCATTTTACTCATTGTGTGTTGGGGGAGTGGCTATATCTGCATATAGCTATGATGTAGAGATAAAAGTGTGAAAAATGTATTTTTTTAAAAAGAAAAGAAATATCGGGTAGGAGATAGATGTATGACTGACTTAGCTTCTGGTGTTTGCTATGCTTAGAGAATTAAGACTCCCTGGCAGGGCCATAACTAGCAATTTTAGCACCTGGGACACTTCAGGTAGGAGAGAAGGTAAGGCCTTGTCAGTGAGGAGATGGAGAGCCTGTGAGGAGGATGTTGTGAGGCAGTGTGGAGGTAAATGGCTTGGGCTTCCTGCCTTAAATTATTCTTGCTAAGCAGGTGCTAGGGAAGCTTAGATGTAGTTGTTCCCTATGAAAGGAAAGAACTGTCAGTGCCCTGGGCCAAAGCTCTGATCACCCCACCTTAATTATGTGCCTGTTCCTTCAGCCTCTTTCTGGAAGCTAGCCCCCAGCCCAAACTCAACCCAGAGCCCTTTCCAACCACCACCTCTCCCCGGACTGCTCACTCAAGTCACATTTTAGCAAACAGTCATTTTTTTCAATAATTGCTGTGATACTAAAGTGCACTGAATGCTCCAAGCTAAGAAAACCACACTTAAGAGGAAAGCCACCAGATAAAAAGGAACAATGTGACAGGTAACACCATAACTGTAATAACTTAATCAAGCTGCTTTTTTATCATCTTCATAAAACAGAACAGTAATTCGTTTTCACTTAAGAGGACTTGATCACCAAAAAAACCCCCTATATAACACCTAGTCAGTACATGGCACAATTTAGTCTTCATATAATCAGCCACTGGCATCCCCCAAGTCCACCCTGGTTTGACAGGGAAAAAATGGTCATTGCTTCTCTGGGTTCATTCCCCTCATAGAGGAGGGAGACACAGGCTGCCTGAATGACTCTCGCAATGAATACTTGAAAGACCAAATAGCACAGTCAGCTACTGGTTGCTGGAATCTAGCATGGGCCAGTCCGGCTCGTGGCCATTCTAGTCTATCCTACCTTATCTCAGCGGATGCCAGTGGAAAAAAACCGCCTCCAGCCAGTGCTGGAAGAGTAGTGGGCGAGTTGGTGGTGGTGGGGGGGGGTGTTTTAACTAAGGTTGACCAGTCGTTTTTTTGTTTGTTTGTTTGTTTTTAAACTGACACTGTGCAATTAGCAGTTTTCCACCCATGACAGACAACGCATTTTCACTCCAACTAGATTTTTTTTGCATGTTTTTTTTATTTAATTTTTTTTGTAACAAGAGCTTTTTTATTTTTTTTTTCCAACATTGATCAGACAACATGTTCTTCACGAAAGCAACTCGTTTTCAACTTTAAAAAGTAATTGACGGTTGTACAACAAGTGACCCACAGGTCAGCTCCAGTCTCACAATAAACAGGGATTCACTGCAACGACTCCATTAGGACAATGCATTATGGATTTAATAACGAATATAAAGCCCCCCCAGTCCCAGCCCCACCCACACATCCCCCCTTTGTATATCGCCTTGTATATACTTGAGAAGAAAAAACCCCCAAACAGTGTTGCAGTAGACTTCCGTGTAAGAATATGATTTGACTCATGAAATGACTTCCTAAATGGAACTTCACCAAGTAGGCAAACACTAGGATTGTATACAATGGACTTCTTAAGCTTGTTTTTGCCAGTTTTCAAAGCTAGCTATGCAGAGTGAGGGTCTTGCTGCCCTGGATAAATAGCGGAGTGGACCAGATTTGCCAGAAAGAAATGCTTTGGGAAAAAAGTCACCACCAAAATGAATGTCATAAAGCTAAATTGAAATTACACTTACAATTAGAGCTATAATATACATTAAATCTTTCAAGATCCCCAAAGGCCCAGCTATCTCCCATGTCTCTAGGCCTTGCCCCAAATCGCCTTTTGTTTTTCGGATTTCCGCTCAAGACTACCTCAATTTAGCTCCTGAATGATCATAGAGCTAAATGGGAGAAAAAAGAAATGGAATTCCTTGCGATCCCATTCTGAAAGAAGGGTATTGAGAGATACCCTTGGCGATGTCTCAAGGGGAAACACTGCTGGGTGGCCCCATGGTTACGTCTCACGCTATGTTTCCTCAAGCATTTTTGACTGGAAGCCAGTGTGTTGTCGCCTATGGAATTCATGAATCGACATCTCTTGTCGACAGTTCTAGTCGGTAGGTTTGTTCCTTCAAGATGAACTGTGGGCTCCTTGTGCCCATCATCTATACAGCAAGAAGGTTGGTGGTAATGTCACCCATCGTCTTTTGGTAGGGTGGCAGGGATGAGGGAGGCTTCATCTGACCAGGTTCACACCTTATTATAGGGGAAAGAAAATAGGAGAATCCACACTGCATGGTTTTCTACTCCTTAGTCCCCATATATTATATTCCCAGAGTTGGGAAAAAATATCAATCAATGAAACTAAAACTAAAACCTCCATTTTGTACGGAGGCGCTTCCAGCCTCGGGAGATACCCAAGGCTGTTGGTAACAGAGCTGTTACTGCTCTTCAACTCCCATGCCTCTCATTGTGGGACATCAGATTAAATGGAACAGGGGCTCCTGATGGTTTGGGAGCTAAAGTCCTTCCCTCAAGTTAAGGTATGTGGCATGGTTTAGGGATGAGGTGTGAAGGGGGGAGAGGGGAGAGAGGATTGGGGATATTTGGCCCTCTGATCTTTGTAGCCTCTCATCAGGCCTGTGAAGAAGCAAGAAGAAAACATCAATTACCCCACCCACTCAGGGAAATTTAGGTTTCCTTGCACACAGTTCTGGTTAGATATCACAGCCTGGCTTTACCTGGTTCCCAAAGCCTTCCTAGATCTATTCGAGGTTTCCTAGGAGGGGTCAAGTAGGGCAGTTGGAAAAAAAGGCTATTTTTGTGCCGTGCATATGCTCAGTTGAGGGCTTGGAAGCCACAACTTCTCTGATTGTCCACCGAGAGATCCATATAATTGAGTAGAAACAAAGGCATCTAGGTAAGGAGAGAGGACAGGCCTCCAAAGCGAAACTGGATTTCTAAGACACAGAAAGGGGTGGGGGAGGGAGAAGGGGGAAGAAAAGGGGGGAAAATCCTGTCAGGCCTGATCCAACCATTCTCAACTCTGCCGGTAAGAGACACGGCAGCCAGTGGTCTCTATGGCTCAGCAACCACAGAAAGTAACATTTAGCGTTCTCTTTTTCTGTAACCTCTGCATCTCCCTGGTGCCCACTGAGCATAGTGGGAGCTACAGCTGTGTAAAGACTGTCAGATCTGACTTCAAAGAGACCCTCTGGTGGTAGCTAACAACCTAATATCAGAATAGATGTTAGAACACAATCTACATTTTACAGGCAGCACTAGCCATTAAAAGGGGGGGGAAGGTTTCTTTCTTCTATTACTCTAACAGAATGGTCAATTGCTAAAGAAAATAAACTATCTAGGATTTCAATGTCAGTGCACTGCCATCGGAAGGAAATAAACGGAAAGGAAAAGAACATGGGATCAGCAGAGAATGAAATCCAGTGAGAACAGAAACATGTAGATGGCATGGTGATTGATCTCTAATTGTGTCAGTCTCAGAGGAAAATTTGAGGCTGTGCTAATAATTTGCATGAGGTAGCAGTATTCAGCAGTTTCACTAGAGATTCCTTCCGAAACTCTTTATCCCCCCCCCTGCCCCCCTATCCCCCTACCACTACCACATAGATAAAACATTCTTAGTGATGAACAAAGGCAGAAACTCGGACAAAAAAAAACCCCACAGAAATGGTGGAATAGAGTTGACTAATCTACCTCAACCTCAAAAAGAAGAAAGAACAATCTCATTTGAATGCTTGTGCCCTGACCTTGGAAGCTTTCTTACTGGGCACTCCTATGAATTTCAATCGTTGACACTAATGAGAACAAGAATCAAAACACTTGGTCATGGAGAAACAACTCTTGTCCTTAGAAGTTCAAGGCAGAGAGAAGATCAGACCTGGTTTGTTTCGCTTTGTTTTAAATAATGAACACTTGGGTTAAACACATACACACACACACACACACACACACACACACGCTCCTTTGGCTAGGAAACACAATGAATGAGCTGAGAATTAAGCAAATGAATTTTTTAAATGGGGGGGGAGCAATTTTAGAAAATGGCAAATTATAGTCAGTTTGGTTAAAAGAAAAAAAAGAAAGAAAAGCAAGTCTTTAGGTTATAAACTCTAGCCTATGGTTGTTTGTTAAGCTAAGTCAATTTAATGGGTTTTCATTTTAGTGTCTTCATTCGTGTTCAAATCTTTAATCACCCCGAAATGTGCTCATTCCAAAAAGACTAACTTTCAATTTTCTCTATATGGAAGGCACACAAATTTGATTAGTAACGTTGCTATGTTTCCCCTAGTTGGCCTAAATGTTATACTTTCTATTACTTACTCTATCCCTATTTAGAAGCCTAGGGTACAGAGAAAGAACATTTGAAATTTCAGGCCCGAGATGAGCTATGCTAACTAATTCCAATCATGATTGGTGAACACTGAATCAGGAAGTGTAGGTCTGAAGACATGCTAATTTCTCTCTCTAAATAGATTCAGTCATTTTGAGTTTTAGATGATTGGAGACAGGGAATAGTGAAACTTGGGAACCAAGGAGTACAGGGAACAACTTTTCCTGCTCAGTGCCTGAAAATTAGAAAAACGGATCTCATAAAACTTTCAGCAGAGTATTTCTGACACCCGCAAATTAGGCAGCCGACTATCTGAAAACTCCTCTCTCCAATGAGCTATCATTGCTCTGTGAAAAAGACTTTGCAAATGATGAGCCATCATTCATTACATGGGCTCAGGATTGTGCCGTTTCCCCCAAGTTTTCCATCTCTGCTGGCGGTACCTAGTGGTGTGGCTGCCAGTTCAGGGAGCTGTGGTTTGTTTTGGAAACACAACTTTTCAAGCCCGCTGCCATCACCACAAGTGTGATAATCAGAAACACTGAATCAGAATCAAGTGACAACAAACGGAGTCTTCTTTGTGGGCAGGTGTCCATGGGAAACTAGCAACATCTGTCAGGTGCGTGAGTTTTCCAAGAGTCCTTTGTAGGGATTCGACTTGAAGTCATTGAATTCCTGGTAGTACAGTGTCTAGGAAACAGCCAGTCGCTGTCTGCCAAACAGAGACATTGATGTGTTGATTAAATGTCCAGATAGCAGTGTTATTGTTTTTTGTTTTTTGTTTTTTTGGGGTTTTTTTGCTTTTTTGTTTTTTTTGTTGTTGTTTTATTTTTGTTTTTTAATCCTTTACAAATAATCTGAGCCGTAACTAGAATAGGGTGCATGAGCTTTCAGTCCAGGGTACTCACATGAGGGTGTGCTTCCTCCTCATGGTGACTGCTGTCCCCGGTTCTTCCCCGCCATGGTCCTCAAGAGACATGGATGGTAGCTGCCCCTAATCCATCACTATGGCATCCCTCTTCTGAGATGCCTTCCTACCACCTTTAGATTGTGCTCTGCACCTTTCCCTCCCCCAACTAAATCTGCCCCAGGCCCAGTCTGGGCTAGTTTCGGCTCCACAAACAATAGTCATTTACATTATAATTTTACTATAGAAAAATATAGAAATCCAAAATACTTAAGACATAATACTTCTTACAACTCAATTTGTCCCACCCCAAGGCCCTCAGAAACCAAAGCTAATTTTCTCCAAATGAACACCCTCGTCTCCTTTGAAACAAGAGGGATTGTCACATTATGACAGTATCATTCACAAACAAACAATACACTTAGGGAAACCTTTGAAATACAGGCATTGGTGAGCCACAGAAAAGCTTTTGAGCTGGTTGAGTCACATACATCGCCATGGCTGTTCTGTGTATCCGTTGTCACCATGGTTGCTCCTCCTCTGCATGTGTCCAGCCTACAGCACGATATCCTTCAGCCTCTTCACTCCCGGGGACTCTTTCTCGGGACTTTCAGGCAGAAGAGGGTTGACTTCCCGCACCACTTTCTCACTGTCGGCTCCGCGTGGCTCTGCTTCAGTGGGACGAGAAGGCCCATTGTTGGGGAACTGCTCCACGGTGTGGGTAGCAGGGCAGTGTATGATGGCACTGTAAGTGACCATCGTTGGCTTGGTGGGCAGAGAACTCTTCAGATGGAGGGGCGAAGTGACTGGACTGATGGCTTCACAACCGTTGCCTGCCTCACGAATGGCACTGGTGACCTTGGGGCTGCAGATGGCCAGGTCTGCCGCTCTCTTGCCTTTCTGGGTGGAACGATCCTCGGCATGGTCACCCCCATCCTTGCCAAAGGTTGCAAAAGTTCTCTTCGTCGTGCAGTCTTCGTAAACCTCAACGTCGGCAGCTGTCGCTTCAATAGACAGGGTGATGATGTTTCTTCCACGATCTGGGGACTTGGCCCGAGTAGGAAGAGGGTTCCGGGGCATCCAGCACCTATCAGAGTGACCAAGAATGCGGCACTCTTCCCTGCAATGAAAGCCTTCATTTTGATCTGTTTGAAAAAAAAAAAAAAAAGAAAAGATCAGTTCCATCAGCCTTTCTTAGCACCCATTGCAATACCCCACAGTCTAGTTTCTCAGGCCCCACATTCAAGGCCAACTCAGAAATATCTGTCACCTTCCAAGAGTCAAGCTTCTATTGTGTTTGGACCAAGTGTTAGGCAAGGGATTGCTAACGGGTCACATGTGAGTCGTTTGCTCCCCAGCCTTTTTATTTGTGTTGCTGTTCCCAGAACTAAAACCGAAAGGGAAACAAGTTAGGATGAGAAACATATTGAAAAAGGTTTGTCCAGAGTGTTGCAGTGCTGCTAGTCAGCATTTTTCTTATCAAGTGGCCTGCTCAAAGGCAGAATATTGGAAACTTTGTCCAAGAGAAGAGGAAAGAAAGCCACCCAACACTCTAGGTAGGACATATACAGCCAGGCTTTCCTTACCAAGTGTTTTTCTAAGTCCTCTTCACTCTTCTTTTCCCACTCTGCGAGATCCCCCCATTGACATCCTACTTTCTAAAGCCCAATCAGAGGGCAGGGTAGAGGGTCCCCAGTGGCAGCAAGCCATTTGCAGAGCTGATTCCCCCAGAGCTGGGGGCAGGTGGACCAATCTTGGCCTTCTGCTCAGCTCTACCTTAGCTTCCCCCACGCTGAGCAGGCCTGTGCCAGCAGCTCCTCTCTCTACTCTCCCCCTCCCCAGTATAGACTTAACAGGGCTGAGGTTTAAATACTGATGCCCAACTGTTTGAACTTCATCTCCTTCACCCCATCCCTTAGTGCTATTTGACTCAAGCTGGGTTTCTCACAGGCAGCAGCAGCAGAATAGAGAGCATTTAGAATCTGCTGCAGAAGGGGTCAGTGGCTAGGACTCAGCATCTGTCAGCTAGTAAGGCCTTTCTAGACCAAGGTCATCAAGGGCTAAGCCTGCTCTGGGGCCCTTGGAGGGCTGGGCCTCATCAGGGTCCAGTTTCAGGGCTTCCTTCTGCTCACCTGCACCCTCCCATTCATTTTCCATGGGGTGTTTAGCACCTTAGCTTTCGGCTACATTTGTATTTCTACCACATTCTAGCACGAGGCTCAGCTAATAAAAATTCTCATCACATCATACAATGCACCAAAAATATAAGCAGCTTAACATTTATAGAAAATCTTGGATGGGGAACAGGGGTCGAAAGGTAAAATATATGCACATATACATATGCACACACATACACACACACACTCCCTCGAACCAAAATCATTTAAAAATTATGCCCCAAATGTTCACCGGGTCCCTAGCCCTACTGCACTCTCTGGGAAAAGCAAGCAGCTGTGGAGGCAATGGGTGGTTCCAGGGCCTTGGCTAACAATGCCTGGAACCTCCCATGCACAGCAGCCAACATTGCCAATGAGCTTACCCAGAAGTCAGGCCTTCTATGTGGTGATCTTCCTTGTTTTGCTTTGTTATTAAAGAAGTTCAATGCATAAGCAAAGCAAGAAATTGCCCTGAAAATTATTTTTGCCCTGCCTTGTTCATCTGTAGTTTGAGATAGAAAACTGTGGGTCCAGGTGCAGGGGGAGGGGCACCTCCAGAAGCTTTGGTTGAGGAGACCTTACATAGTTCAGCCACTAGGAAAAAGGCCTTAGGGCTAGCTTAGTCCCAGGAAGATGTCCATTTGCAGCACAGCCTGGAGACTGTTGCCTGATCTCCTCAAGCCAGCTGAAAGCTGACGGAGAGCAAGACCTGGCTGAAACCTAAGTAAGTGCAGCCAGGCTGAACTGGGCCAGGTAAGTCAGCTCCCAGGGGCTATTTGTCCTCATCACAGTTATTAGCAGCCCGATCACAGGCATGGAGAGAAAAAGCCAATGACACCTCCCAACCGAGTGCCTCCTAAACCCCAGCCAGCTGTGAAACATCCCTGTGGGATCAAGAGGATGGATACAACAGTGACAGCAAAATTACCGCTGAGGATGCACCTGGGTGGAAAAGCGCCATCCCACTTCCAGGGCCAGGGCCCTCTCGCTGCCTGAAACTGGCAAGTGGGAAATTGACATCTGCTCCTCCCCCCACACAGCACATACGCCAGGACCATAGATCCCAGGAGAGTGTGAGCTCCCAAAGCTTGGGCATGGTGCTGTACGCTACATCGTAGGTACTCAATAAATCAAGAAGGTCCCTTCAAGCTCAAAATCTATGATCCTGTGATTCAGCTTCAAATACCAGCCCTGACACTCTGCAGGCAGCATGACTTTTCTGAACCTCAGTTTTCTCATCTGTGGAATAAGGGGGCTGCACTAGATGATCCCAACAAAATGTAAGCTTCTTGAGGGCAGGACTTGGTTGGCTTTTTTTTTTGTCTTTGCATCCTCTACTAGATATAAATTACCTGCAGCAGGTGCTAAAGAAATGGTTTTCGAACTGAATGGAACTACCTCAAAGGTCCCTTGCAAGCATCCATCTGTGACCCTGTGCAGCCTTGAGCATATCCCTTCATTGGTCTGAGCCTCAACCTCCTGTCTGTGAAATGCAGGGAGTGGCAGCTGGCCCCCAGGCTTGTGGCAAGGATCAAAGGAGCTAATGGTCGGCGACTGTTCAGTCCACTTGAAAGACTTCTAGAAATGTGCACTCTTCTTGTTACCTGTGTGGCCTCATCTGGAAAATGAAAGGGTTCTGCTGGGTGACTGCTAAGACCCCAGCAGCTCCTGCTCATGTAATGCTAGAGGAGGGTTGGTAATGGGGGCAGAAGGGAGGAAGGAGGGGAGGTCAGCCTGCTGTTTGGGAGGGAGGGAGGAGGAGGGAAGGTTAGTTTGCTGTTTGGGGGCAGGAAGGAGGAAGGGAGGTTAGCCTGATGTTTGGGGGAGGGAAGAGGAGGGGAGGTCAGCCTGATGTTTGGAGGATGAGAAGAAACTCTCTTTTGAGCAACAAGGCAGGTATTGAGAGTATAGAGAGTGACAGTGGCCTGGCCTGGCTTAGACACCAGGGATGGGAGGAAGCAAATGCCCAGTGGGTTTGGGGGAGAACCTCCCACCCTGTCTATGTGCCATGTCAACTTCACTTGATTCAGACCTACTAAGGGCATTTGGGGGTTCCAACCCAAAGGACAATGAAGAAAAGATAACAAACATTTCTATGATGCTTTCAAGTTTGCAAAGTGCCTTCTAGATAGTAAGTCCTAGGAGCCTCAAAATGACTCTGTGAGACAAGGCTATTACGAGCACCCTTATTTTACAGATGAGGAAACAGAGGCCAGTAAAGGAGAGTGACTAGCCAACAGCTCTCCAGCTAGTGTCAGAGATGGTATCTGACTCCAGGTCTTCCTCATTCCAAGGTCAGAATCCAGTCCCTTTGCTAGCTGTTTCTGAACAGGTCCTGGGAGCCTAGCCTTAAGGATTTTTTTTTACCTCACTTGTCTTGGTAGGAAGTACTTGCTACTCACATTGAGAGACACTTCTTCAAGGGAAGGCCTCAGGACCTTAGCCTGTGTCATTCACAGCCTCTTCCTCACTCCCCCCATTTATGAGGGCAACAAGGTTAGAGCACTTGGAATGTGGCCCAAACACACAGATAGGTAGTTGTTTGCCAGCTGAACTGACCAGAATTCATCAATCATCATCTTCTTCTTACAAACTGTATGACGGAGATAATTTGTGAGCGCGCGCGCACACACACACACACACACACACACCCTGAAAAGAATGCTTCCTGGGCTCCCTGAGAGTTGCTTACCTGCTAGCAAGGTGTGTGAATAGGGTGCCAGCCAGTGACAGTGGAACAAAAACCCTCAGAAAGCCATTGCTTGGTGGTGAAGAGACTCATCCACCCCCCCCCCCCCAGCTGTCCCTTTGCTTCTGACCAGCTGCAGCAGGTAATTAGAGGATGTATACAATGGCAGCACTGGAAAAAAAAAAACATGGAGACCGCCATGGAAGGCATCTAGTCCAACCCTCTCATTAAACAGAAGAGAAAAATGAGACCCAGAGAGAGCCCAAGGCCATGGCTGTTTGGTGGCAGAGCCAAACTTAAGATACCAGGTCTCCTGCCAAGTCGTTGAACCAAGTAGAACACAGAATGTGTGAGGTGGGGGAGGGTAGAGAAACTAATGGAAACTAAGGCTAGAAAGGGGGGGTTGGGGCCAGATTATGGACACCATCCAATGCCAAGCTTGGAGAATGGGTATTTGATCTTGGGGCAAGGGGGAGCATTGCTGTTGCTGGAATTCGGGAGATTCTGTCATTGAACATGGCACATATATGAATGCAGGGCTGGGGCGGGGGTGGAAATAGAACCCAAACCTTGAGGCCAAAGAACGTTTCAATTCTGAGTGGATCTGAATGTTTTTATGAAAAGTTGCTACATGCACCATCCAGCCACTAAAAAGAAAATGGTCAGTGGCAACTTGTCTTTAAAGTTGGGTGAGAAGATTGCATGAACCTTTAGGCAAAACACTTAGAAGACTTAAATAAAGTTATCAGTCTTCAGAGGGTTTGAGAAGGCAAAAGAATCAGTAGTGGCTAAGACCTAATAGATCAGGAAGCAATTCAAACAGAAAGGCACCGGGAGTGTTGTTTCATGCTGACAATAGCCAACCTTCGTACAGTAATTCCTTCCCTCCTTAGGGCCTGAAGCTGCCTGTCTCTTAGAAAGATGAACAAGCTCACGTACAGCATACTACCAACAGCCAAACCAGGCAGAAAGCAACGCTGAGAAGTCCACCCCAGGCTTTACCAAAGCTTTGGAAAGCAGAGCCAGTGTGCCAGGTACATATCGATGTCCAGCCACAATGGATATGTTCAATAATCTAGGGGTCCTTTACCTTAAAACAAAGTCTTGACCTATTAAGATCACAGGGCTTTGGAGACACTCCTCCCTGCTAGAATGGTTAAAATAATAGTCATCACTTCAACAGAAATCAGCTAATCCCAGAAAGGAATGGTTAATGCTTGGCCCACTCCAAATCAGCCCAAACCAATCCACTCCAACACACATCCAATTGAGGGCATAGTCCCTGACAAAAAAAAAAAAA